AACCCAGCGGATTTGCTACTTTTTTTCCTCTTTCCTCTTTTCCTTTCTTTTTATCTTTCCTTTTCCCTTTCAACTTCGAACCTAGAAGCCCTGTTGGGTTATTTCGAACCCAGTAGATCTGCTGGGGTTTTTTTTTTTTTCTCTCTCTCTATTTCCCCTTTCCCTTTGTCTTTGTCTTTCTCTTTCTTTTTCCTCTTCTTTTTCCTCTTCCCTTTCAATTTAGATTTGCTAAATTTTTTTGTTGATTTTCAGTCTTTGTTCTAGGTGCTTAGTTGGGTTTTTGTAGAAAGTTAGGAGAAGATACTTTGATTTTTCTGGGTATTTTGGAAGGCTGAGGGGGCTATTAGGGAGATTTTGGATTTATACTTGTGTTATGCTTGGATTTAATGTTAGAAGGTGTCTAGATTTGCAAAAAGTGAATGGAAAGGAAGAGGAAGAAGAAAGGGAAAAAGGACAAACAAAGAAAGCCAAAAATGGGCATTCGATTTCGAACCCAACAACCGTTGGGTTCTTTCATGGGTTTGAAAAAGAGGTGATGAAAGTGAATTCTAATGAAAAATATTGATGAATTGATTGTTTGATTCAGAAAAATGATGATGAAAGTGGATTCAAATGAGGTAAAGAGAGAGAAAAAGAAGAATGAATGAAAAAGATTTGTGAAAGAGGATGCTGGAGGAAGAATATGAGGGTAAAACTATAATTTTAAATGAATTAGATAATTAAATTTTGATACATCATTTATTTATCCATGCTATTAAGCTGATGTGTCACAATATTTTGACATGTTATCGAGTTTCTGTGAGTTAACGGGACACGTAGGTGGATTGTTAATGGAAGGACCAAGTCGGGGTAAAAATGGTAAACAGTAGGGATCAAATCAAGGATTTTTTAAGTTGAGAGACTCAATCGAGGGTCCGTACAATAGTTGAGGGACCCAAATGGGGGTTTAACCAATATATTATAACTATACCTTGAACCTTATAAACTTGAAATTCCATATAACCCAATCTGAATTCACCAACCCTGCTTGTTTCTAGATCCGCAATCCAATCAAAGGGTAGAGAAAAAGATGGGCTGGAGGGGCCTCTTAAAATTTTAAAATTGAACTTTATTCCTACAATTTTTATTCATATAATTTTTATCATAAGTTTTTTTATTTCATAAAACTTTAATCATTTTTTAGTTTCTTTATTCATTAGTGATTACTTTTTGTGGGGGTGGACATGAGCTTAAGAGAAAAATCCCATGGGTTAAATGGGATGTTGTCTGTTACACTAAGAAGATGGGGGGTTTGAGGGTTTTTGCTTTAAGTAGAAGAATTGGGCTTTGCTTGGTAAGTGGTGGTATAGACTAAGAGATGGGTTATGGGGATTATGGAAGCAAGTGTTGTGGGAGAAATATTATGGGGGGAGGACGGAGGTGGATATTGCTGCTATGGAGGGTCTATGTATTTCTCGTATTTGGAAGGACATCATTAGTATTGGAAGGAGATTAGAAAAATTAAGAGATATGTTGGTAAAAGGGTTTAGGTGGGAGGTAGGGGATGGGCAATATGTGAGCTTTTGGAAGGGTTAATGGGTAGCTAACAGAACATTAAGGGATGTGTGTCCTAGGTTATTTGAGTTGGCAGTGAACAAGGATGGCAAGCTTTGGGAGATAAGGGTGTGGGAGGGAGATTGTTGGAGATGGAGGTTGGATTGGCAAAAGCAAAGAATGGATAGAGAGTTAAGTGAGGAGGGGCTTTTGTGAGAGTTGTTGAACAGTGTGGTTTTGAGAAAGGGTAGGGTAGATAATTGGAAGTGGGTACATGGTGTAGATGGTGTCTATGAAGTCAAGAAAGCTTATGCTTTCTTAGATTCTGGTGATAGAATCCTTGCTGAGCAGGTGTATAAGTTAATTTGGTGCAAATATGTTCCCTCAAAAGTCAGTTTTGTTGGTTGGAGATTATGCTTAGGTAGACTAGCCACAAAAGTTACAACGAAGGGGAGTAGTTTGTAAGGGGTGGAATTATTGTGTTGTTTGTGTAAAGAGCAAACGGAGGAGAATGATCATTTATTTTTTACTTGTCAAGACTCTTGGTTGGTATGGATACAAGTGTTAAAGTGGTGGGGTATGGAGGGGGTGTTGCCGAATATAGTGGATGGAATAGTAGATTTTTTTCTATTTGGATTAAGAAGACTTGTAGGAAGAGAGATGGGTTCTTGCATTTTTTTTAATTGGTATCTTGGTATATTTGGTATTGGAGGAATAGTATAGTATAATATTTAATAATGGGAGGAATTTGGGACAATAAGTATTGGATGCGGTACAAGATAAATTCTTTGTTTGGCTCAAACACAAGGTGCAAGGGTATGTCTTTTCATTTTATGATTGGCAATTAAACCCAATGGGTTGTGCATTGGCTATTCAAAGGAGCAAAAAGTGTTTAAAGAATTTCAAAAACAACATAAGCATGTTGATGTAAGTTCTGAAGGAGGGGCTATTTGAGCATGTAATTTTTGTTTTGTTTTACCTATGATTCCATTTAAGTAGTTGTGGTTGGTATGTATAATGTAATTAAATGGGTAGAACTACCCATTGTACTTCATTTTTTTAATAAAGTTAATTTTGCTTATCAGAAAAAAAAAAATAAAGATTACTTTTTGTTATGTTAATTGTTTAAACTTAAAAATAATTATTTGAATTTAGTTAATGAACCTAAAAATCTTTAATTTATACATCATTAACCTTTATTTTAAGTTATCTATTACCTTATTCATCTATTTATGTAAATCAATATTAAATATACAAAAATCTTATAATGTATAACGCTACAATTTTAGTTATAATTAAACGATTTATCTTCCCTCTTGATTTCAAATAAAATTGTACTTTTGATAACTTTGGAAAAAAATGCTTTTGAACAAAAAAGGAAAAATGTATTTCGTTTAAGATTTATTTATAGTAATAAAAATAAGTATATTATGAATAGAGTTTTTAATTCATGATTAGAACTCCTAGATATGCTTATATATGATATTTAGTATTTCAAGCAGTATGATTCTATAATATATTATTATACTCTTTTAGACAAAGATTCAAAACTTTACAACTATATTTTGAAACTTGGTTTAAAAATTAAACAAGTTCTTATGAAAATGTTATT